GCGTCTGATAGGGAGAGACACACCCACACATCAACATACAAATCGACAGGCACAGTAATCATTACTGGTGTGAGTGTATATAGTGTTCTTCTGTAATAAACAGATCCTCCTAGCACATTGCTCGTACAGTGACTGTGTGTACAAGTCCAAACGAGGGGAGAGAAGTCTCCAATCAGATCACATTGCTCGTACAGTGACTGTGTGTACGCGTCCAAAACCAAGCATTAGACTTTCAACAGGTCTGTGTAATACTATACCGTCGGTATTGGGCACTTAGTGAACTTTAAGAGAGCTGTGTACATGGGCATCCTAGACTCATCCAATCACATACAAGAAGAGCGGTTCGATACTACGAATGATAAAACCAGGTCTTGTGTCAAATGCTCTTTAACCCCGTGTGGGTGGAGCGGCTGGGTACGAAATTACTACAAACAAGAGCTCATGATTTTCTCCTCTGACTTCCTGGTCCATGGTATATATATACATACAGTGTAGCGTATGTAACAGTACTGTATGTGCGCTCTTTACTCCTGTTTTGACAGTGAATTACCTGAGACGTGTGAAGAAATGGGAAATGTTGTCAACGAGACATTCTGGAACTGCTCTCATCTGCGGTGGAGCCTACACAACACATTAATTTATTAACCCTCGGCACGCATGCACAGCGAGGGTTACAGTACTTGGTCTGTCCGTCTGTCTGTCTGTCGACGCTTATTCTGGCACTACAGGCTACGAGGTGGCCTATTAGTGATACTGAAACGACTGCGTTCGAGAGATATGCCGTGAAAAAAGCCAATATGGATATTAGCACTGGGCTTACCGCAACCTGATCCGCTTGCTCTGTGTACCTTGGAGGCACAAGAAGTCACAATGAAGGCCGTGTATTGACTCCCGCATGCTATCTACTACTGTAACTAGCCCGTGTCAGACTCTCCGCGAGCTACTAGCGGAAGACCACAAGTAAACACATACTAAGAGCCCACCCCATCAATTAGTTAATTTAGAAGATGTCACATTTTACACTTATGATTGCACTGTCACCTTTGTTGGTAGAGGGAAAAGGGACTCTGGGGAGTCTAAGGCTGGGTCACATGACTTTGAGAACGGGTCATGTGATCTCTGAGTGGCCAGCCAGACCAGCCAGCGGGCAGTGGTAATCAGAAATGTCAGACAGAGTTCCTGGAGATTAGGATTGTCCATGTGAGTCTGGGGGTGGGTGTAAAGGGGAGGGAGGGAGGGAGGGAGGGAGGGAGGGAAAGGAAAGAGAGGAGAACGAAAAAATAGGAGATAAATTGACTGCAAAATGAGGTTTACTGTTATTAAAGGGGATGTGGCAGTATAAAAGGCTAAATTTAGAAAGTTTTACCGCATTTGCATTTGCACTGGGTCAGTTCCATCTTTAGTAATATTTACACCGCCTCATTCCCTTTAATTCTTGGTGTGCACATGCAGTGATGAGTATATACTTGCTTTGTGTGTCTGGTCTGTGCCTGTCTGTCAAGCGGTCTATTTGCTACCAAAAGCAAAATAGCTTACGTCATTACACCACAACTACATACACCAAGCGGCCAAACATTGTTCCTGCAACTCATGTGTATGCAGGACCAGAGTGCAAGAGGGGGACATAGTTCCTATATATCCTCATTGGTCCTGCATACACATGAGTTGCAGGAGCAGTGTTTGACCGCTTGGTGTATGTAGTTGTGGTGTAATGACGTAAGCTATTTCCTTTTGGTAGCAAATAGACCGCTTGACAGACAGGCACAGACACACAAAGCAATACGCTTCCAAGGGGACACTTTGACCCCCTAAGAGGGGGACATAGTCCCTGTATCTCCTCAGTACTCCCCCTGAATATGCTTCCAAGGGGACACTTTGACCCCCTAAGAGGGGGACATAGTCCCTGTATCTCCTCAGTACTCCCCCTGAATATGCTTCCAAGGGGACACTTTGACCCCCAAATAGCACTGTATGTAGGTGCCCTGTTACTGGGACCATCTAAATTTGTGGTTACCAAATTTGTTGCTAGGGGGCTGATTGTCCCCTAGCAATAAATCTCTGGAGCTAGCTAGCTCTGAGTATGCCAAGTGTGTGGTCGTGATTGAGCAGACCTTGAATCCGTGGACCTGGGAATGGAGTAGGAGGAACTGAGTGTGGACCCGGTCATAGAGAAGTCCTCCAGGTCCACTGGTGGCTGCTATGTTCTGTAGAGCCATCATGGTCTGGGGGAGAGAGGGAGGGATGGAGGGAGGGAGGGAGGGGGAGGGAGAGAGGGGGAGGGAGGGAGGGAGAGAGGGGGAGAAAGAGAGAAGCAGGATATATAGAGGAAGAGATAGAGAGAAACAGGTGCTCCACGCTGATGTTTGCTACCATGTTTGTATGCGGTGCGTGTCTTATTGGGTGTGTTGAGAGCAGGGAGGGAGGCAGAATTGCAGGCAAAAAATTACGCAACCAGGGGGGGGTTTACCCTCTTTTGTTTTTATTCCCCCCTCCGTTTTTAATTCTCCCCCCCTACTTTCTCCCTGCTTTACTTAGGCAAATGTGTATAATAGATGTATAGTATAGTCTTTCGGAAGTGAATGTGTGGCAAGTGGTCAGTCGACCCCCCTCCTTAATTGCTCCCTGGCTAAAACCCTGACAACAGTCCTAGACAAGAATTTTGGGCGAGCGAAAACTGGGTGAAATTTCAGTGGTTTACGTGTATTCAGAGCTTGAGCACATTGAAGATGAGTGCCTAACTGAATATAGTAAGGAAGAAAAATAGTGTACAATTATGATGGCTAGGTGGAATCGCTTTGCTCGCTAATTGTATGGAGAGATGCAGTGTATATATATATATACAGCAATAAGAGTGAATTACTCACACGCTCATAGAGTCCCAATAGGTCTACAAACCTCTGCATAATCTGAGATAACCCTGCAGACATGGGGCACAAGTCATTCTGGGCACATGGTCTCGCCACTGTTCAACACAAATACAATACGTTACACTCTCTGAACACGTGTGGTCTATAGCAAAAGATCTATACCTTAAACCGCAATCTAATCCACACCCAACCCGGGTCACACCTCCCTTCATGTGAATGGAGTGTTATAATAATATAATACACTACTACGTACAGTGGGACCTCCGAATAATGAAAAGATTGGGACAGCAATTTTTTTCATTATTCAGAGGTTTTATTAATTGAGAGGTATGTACATAATGGTAAAGCCAGTTGGTACATGGGAATAAGTTCATTAGTTTTCACTGCTGGGGGAATTCATTATCGGAGGTTCCACTGTACCCACATACATACGTACCAACAGTACCCACATACATACGTACCAACAGTGCCCACATACATACGTACCAACAGTACCCACATACATACGTACCAACAGTACCCACATACATACGTACCAACAGTGCCCACATACATACGTACCAACAGTACCCACATACATACGTACCAACAGTGCCCACATACATACGTACCAACAGTGCCCACATAATACGTACCAACAGTGCCCACATAAATACGTACAACAGTACTCACATACATACGTACCAACAGTGCCCACATACATACGTACCAACAGTACCCCATACATACGTACCAACAGTACTCAATACATACGTACCAAACAGTGCCCACATACATACGTACCAACAGTACCCACATACATACGTACCAACAGTGCCCACATACATACGTACCAACAGTGCCCACATACATACGTACCAACAGTACCCACATACATACGTACCAACAGTGCCCACATACATACGTACCAACAGTACCCACATACATACTGTACCTAGAGTGAGAGTCCTGTGAGTGAGAAAGAAACACTGTGTGATGAAATTGAACTCCGTCTCAGGTCTGGCTGGCTGGAGATCCCCCTCCTCTGGGAAAGGAGGTGGAGAAAGAAGAGGGGTGGGGGTAAAGGTATGGACGATGGGATGGAGGAAAGAGCAAGTGCATTATATAAGGGGTCAATTTGGAACCTGGTATAAGTTAAGTTACTCAATACTATAGCTAGAATAGAAGGCACAGTGTTGCTGTACATCACACATAGCTATGTATATAACAGCAAAGTTCAACGAAAACATTCTATGTATGCATATTCATGCTGCCATGTGTAACAGAGAGCATGCTTCTTACACATGCGCCCTGCAACATGCGAGAAAGGAAAATGCAAGGATTTCATGGATCTTCGCCGTCATTCATAGAACAGAAGATATGGTTGCAAAAGGGAATCATGTTAAAAACGGCAGAAACCCTCCTTTACCATGCATGCTATCTGATGCTAAGCTATTCCCATTGTAAATCTTGAAGTGTATGGTACTGACCTGGGTCCTGGGGACTCATTCTTGTCTCAGACCTAAAGTCCAGTTGAGCATCGACTGACTCCGAGGCCTTCACCAGGCAGTAGAGCGGGTCAATTGACCGGATTAGCGGGGCATCCCGTTTTGCAAACGGGGCAGCCAGTTTTAGCATGATCCAGCAGAGATTGAGGAAAAACCGTCACTGGCACATGTTGACGTGGATGTGTCCATCACGGGCTGCATTCTCGCCATCATCTATGAGGAGGAGGAGGAGGAGGAGGAGGAGGAGGAGGAGAAAGAGGAGGAGGAGGAGGATGCCCTTGAAAAATTGGTGTATCAAATATGCAGAGAGCAAGCAATTTGGAACCTACAGTGATGACCTCTAAAGCAAACCTATAACAAGAGGCTGTGAGATATGACCAACCTTCCCTCTGTCCTTGTTAGCCTCCAGACACTGGACCAGCCAGCGGATAACTGCCGACTTGATCTCTTGCCCTGCCCTCAGGAGACGAAAAACACCTGTAGACACACACACACACTCACACATCAGTTATGAATCCTACCGAACCCTCACACCTCTACTACTCACAGAGTGAAGGCGTGGTTCAACACTTTCCATGTTCACTGTTCATATGCTTGCCTATCTGAGACGTCAGGCAGTTTTTCCATAATTATTGCGCCACATTTACTGTTCATAGTTCATATGCTTGCCTATCACTTGCACAGACGTTAGACCATTTTGCCATATTGCATCCCAAAGCAACTTTCCACAACTAAATGTAGCTATGGCATCATTATTATGAGCAATATTTTGGCCAGCTGTACACCCTGTAACGTTTTAAAAAAGAGCTGCTCTGGGTGGGACTGAAACCCACCGCACTCCGTAGTCTAGGCAGAGTGCTCTACCTGCTGAGCTACCAGGGCAGCTCAGGCTCAAATCTACAACACAAAATCTATAATAGGGACCTTGTGTATTTGATCAATGTGGGCGTCCTGATCAGCCTGGACAGAGAACCTGATATCCTCCACCACGTCTCTCCGGAGGAGAGTCGTGTCTAAGGGGAAATGCTCCTGCAGTCAATCGGTTAACGGAGAGAAGCACAGATACACAGGGTAGACGTGAGTTACTCATGCTAGAATTCAAGTGTCATACATAGGTTCAAATACCACCTCTTTGAAAAACTGGCGTGTGTATATAGCTTGTTTGCCTTCCCTTTACCAAGCATGTTACTACATTAGAACGAACAAGCAAACACAGTGGTATTAGTCAGTAGAGGAGGATCATATCATACATGTATAGCTGGGCTCACAGGGTGCAAGGCTGATATCCATAGCTAGTGCTCACAGAGGGCCTGTTGCGAGATGCTGTATAGCTAGTGCCCACAGAGGGCCTGTTGCGAGATGCTGTATAGCTAGTGCCCACAGAGGGCCTGTTGCGAGATGCTGTATAGCTAGTGCCCACAGAGGGCCTGTTGCGAGATGGTGTATAGCTAGTGCCCACAGAGGGCCTGTTGCGAGATGCTTTATAGCTAGTGCCCACAGAGGGCCTGTTGCGAGATGCTGTATAGCTAGTGCTCACAGAGGGCCTGTTGCGAGATGCTGTATAGCTAGTGCTCACAGAGGGCCTGTTGCGAGATGCTGTATAGCTAGTGCTCACAGAGGGCCTGTTGCGAGATGCTGTATAGCTAGTGCTCACAGAGGGCCTGTTGCGAGATGACTGTATAGCTAGTGCCCACAGAGGGCCTGTTGCGAGATGCTGTATAGCTAGTGCTCACAGAGGGCCTGTTGTGAGATGCTGTATAGCTAGTGCTCACAGAGGGCCTGTTGCGAGATGCTGTATAGCTAGTGCCCACAGAGGGCCTGTTGCGAGATGCTGTATAGCTAGTGCCCACAGAGGGCCTGTTGCGAGATGCTGTATAGCTAGTGCTCACAGAGGGCCTGTTGCGAGATGCTGTATAGCTAGTGCTCACAGAGGGCCTGTTGCGAGATGCTGTATAGCTAGTGCTCACAGAGGGCCTGTTGCGAGATGCTGTATAGCTAGTGCTCACAGAGGGCCTGTTGGGAGATGCTGTATAGCTAGTGCTCACAGAGGGCCTGTTGCGAGATGCTGTATAGCTAGTGCTCACAGAGGGCCTGTTGCGAGATGCTGTATAGCTAGTGCTCACAGAGGGCCTGTTGCGAGATGCTGTATAGCTAGTGCCCACAGAGGGCCTGTTGCGAGATGGTGTATAGCTAGTGCCCACAGAGGGCCTGTTGCGAGATGCTGTATAGCTAGTGCTCACAGAGGGCCTGTTGCGAGATGCTGTATAGCTAGTGCCCACAGAGGGCCTGTTGCGAGATGCTGTATAGCTAGTGCTCACAGAGGGCCTGTTGGGAGATGCTGTATAGCTAGTGCTCACAGAGGGCCTGTTGCGAGATGCTGTATAGCTAGTGCTCACAGAGGGCCTGTTGGGAGATGCTGTATAGCTAGTGCTCACAGAGGGCCTGTTGGGAGATGCTGTATAGCTAGTGCTCACAGAGGGCCTGTTGCGAGATGCTGTATAGCTAGTGCTCACAGAGGGCCTGTTGGGAGATGCTGTATAGCTAGTGCTCACAGAGGGCCTGTTGTGAGATGCTGTATAGCTAGTGCTCACAGAGGGCCTGTTGCGAGATGCTGTATAGCTAGTGCCCACAGAGGGCCTGTTGCGAGATGCTGTATAGCTAGTGCTCACAGATGGCTTGTGAGGAAAGTTAGGGACCGATGATGGTCTCAAAACCCAGCCCAGGACGGTTTCCATCTCGAAAGACTTTCCATTGCAGTTGGGTCCCTGCGGAGTCCAGTACATGCTGTTCACCATTACCTGTGGAGAGGGTGGCATAGAGGCTGACATAGTGTACGGAATAGCTGTGTGGGAGGGTAGGTTTAACTGATGGGTATAAATGGTTGTGCGCTGGTATAGCCGTAGCTACGTCCACAGGTATTGTTTCTTTAACCGTAAACATGTTAAAGGGAATTCCTTCGAATTAAAAAATGGTGATGGTAGAAAAAAGGTGACTATATTTAGAAACTGTTACTGAAAATGGAAACTAATTGCATTCTTTCACTGGGCCCTATTGTTTAGTTCTATCTTTAGTATATAACTTTAGTATCATTCCTAAATTTGGCCCTTACGTACTGACACATTCCCCTTAAAAACTATCTGCATTAATCATGGAATGACACTGGAAGGCAAGTGCATATCAAACAATGAACATAATTTGACACCTAGAGCAAGAGCATGAAATAATTTTCAAAAATACTGAGAAAGAGAGAGAGAGAGAGAGAGAGGGATGGGTAGTCCAATACTGTGAGGATGAGGTGTTTCAATCCCCCAGTATCAGAGAGCTACAGTCAGAAAAGAGTAGCAGACCTTGCCGAGAACAGGGTTTCCACCATAGACTCCCAACACGGCCACAGAGTAATGGAGTGTTTGGCTGGAGTAGGACAGAGGAGGCACAGCGCTGGTCACCGTCCCCAGCGGCGGCTCAAACAGACGTTTCTGCCAAAACACACCACAACATCAGAATAGCAACCACTCGATGCAACACACAATCCAGAAAAATGGAGTGTCAGAGTGGAAATGTAGTCCACTACTTGTAGGTACACATCACTATAATAATATTGGTATGTACGTGTATCTGTTAGGTGCAAGGTACGGAACATCCACAGATTATCTTCAGATCTTCACTCTTCACAATGAAAAGCACTAAAGTGCAAACCCTACGCTTGCGCGGTACCGCTAGTTGACGGGCTTGGCTATGATTGAGGATCATTTCGATATCTCGTATGAGTGGATTGGTTACAGCACGACTGAGAAGTTGGCCAAAGAGTGAGAAAGTGACCATTCTACTCTCTTAGCACTTGGCACTGTATAATAATATCTCCGGATTGGACGTTTTTTTGCGTGTAAAACACAGTAATACAAACCAATCACATAACCCCCCCGGTGCATGCAGTGTGGGGATATACTTTGTGTTCATACATAAGATACTAAGTGTATGTTCATGACAGAAGTAGTCAAGATGCTCACTAATTTCTGGGGGTCGCTCTGGTAAACCTCTGCAATCCGATAAAAGAACTCTACCGGCACGGCTTCATCATCTGCAAAATAGAACAAAGTAGATACTACAACCAACACATCTTAACCTACTGATAATTGATTCTGCCTCTTATGGTATTTACGTAATGGTTAACCCACGGGCGCTCAAGTTGTACGGGATACAAGTAAATATTAAAAAGGGATGGTATAAAAAGAAAGGGAGACAAGATAGGGATGGGATACATGAAGCATGGTTAAGGAACAGATTTGAGTACGCTGACACCCCCAACCCCATCACAATCCCTACTGGTGTGCCACTCGTAAAACTACATTTGTACTCTTGGTTGTTGTTGTGTACAAACATGTTGTTGTGATTTTGATGTTTGTGATTGAATACATTATGTATACAAAGTTCCGTTCACATATAGCTCTTACCGTTTGTGAGTTACTGAAGTCACTATAATGTATTTCCGTATTGCCTGGGGCTATTTGTTGAACATTGTTTACAAACAAAAAAGTATGATGTTGCACATCAGGTTACTGATATCTACATTCCTGCAAAATCTATGATGCTAGGTATGTACTGTATATACCTGGTTGTCTGATGGATTGGATAAAGATAGCAACAAATCTTTCATAATGAGCCATTTGCATTAAAACTCCACCACACATCTCCACGACGACTCTCTTGCATTCTTCCAGTACGTGACTGTGGACTACCACATCCATCTGACAATACACATACACACACACAAGAAGAGGGTTAATGCATCCCGTGTTGCAGGAACAACTTGGGAAGGAAACATATCACCAATTTTAACTGTTTGAGCGCAACTGACGCTCACTTTGGAGCATCACATTGAAATTCTGTGAGACTTTTTCTCATGTAAGGAAGTGTTGTGCCGTGCATGCCTTACATACGTGACTAGAAAGCAAAAAAGGGATAAAAATTGCTGATTGCACACTTGTTCCTAACCTAGTAACTTGCATTGGGAAAAACTCTTGCCATGCAGTCTATTGTTGCATGGGCCCATAACACCCATACACTTTAGACTTTGGTTTCGCGCAACAAAGTTGCACGCTGCGTTCTTGGTCCCCTACAGAATCCCTTCGCCATTGTCCTCACCCTTGCATCAGTCATACATGTATGTATGTTGGTAGTAAAAGATATAGATAGGGCTTGTGTACAGGAATATTTACACAAGCAAGACATTACTTTTCCACACAGTTCCTCCTAACCTTGCTGTCGCTAGCCTCTTCCTGGCAGGCTCTGGTGTAGCTGTGGGCCAGGTAGGTGAGGTTACACGTCTCCACGGCCCTTGCCTCAGAGTAGAGACCGCTACTCCTACCGTGCTGACACCGGACAAGAGAGGCCAGCGGATCATCCATCTGAAGTCTCTCTGCCACACCCTAACAAAACAGTGGCGAGGAGATTATACTAGTACAGTGGAGCTCCTCTAATCAGGACACAAATTGGTATTAGAGAGGTGTCTTTATTTTGGGGGGTTAAGACACATGTTCAAAAGGATGTTAGAGAGGTGTCCTAATTTCAGGGGTGTCTTTAGCGAAGGGGTTCCGCTGTAATTCACTCGTACTGTGGGATAAGGTGATGGGAAAGAGGTGAAATACAGTCTTTCCAGGCAATCAACTGTGGGGCAACATAACGCTAGGCACGTGCGTTGTTTATAACTCCCCATTCACTGCACCTTCGCCAACGAGTCGAGATCGAGGTCACTAGTCGATGTCCCTGACCGCTGAAGGTCTCTGCCCACCCCCGGCAGGGCTAGTACATACCGCGGACGGCTCGCTCGGCTCTCCACCCTGCCCGGGGAGTCGGACACTGTCGGCGAGATCAGGAAGACCCTCCGGAGCACGCGGCCAACGTCTCGCCTCTGTTGCTCCGCTGAGCTCACCTGCCGCTCCACGGCCTCGGGTGTCGAGAAGATGGCAGCGAATGGGTTACTGGGGTCGGCCATGCTTCGCTATCTGCCTGCCTAGCACAGATGGATGGGCGGAGTATCTAAATTTCAGCGCGCATGCGTAAAAGTAATCTCATTTTCCCCGTTTGGTTTTAGGAGTGTCTGTGTCTGTCCTTCCCTTGTACAAATTTATATATACGGTTCAATGTGTTAAAAAACTTTGGTGGTGTAATAATGAACATACAACTGATTATGCAGTGGTTCTTGGAAGCAGATTGTTCACAACCGCTGTAACCTGAGCCCTTGCAAGAGCCTGTGGACTCCCTGGACTCCTGCTGCGACTTGGACTCCCGGGAGCACTGCTGTTGTGTGAGATGACGACAGAGTAAGAATTGGACACCTCCAGATCTCCCTCATCGAGGAGAGGCTCGCGGTACTCTGTGTAGGACACCTCAAAGTCCCCCGCTATCCTCGCCCTGTCGTGCTCGGAGAGCGAGTTCAGGTAGTCCACACTGGCCGACCGTGCGGAACGCTGCAGTGTAGCATCTCCCACGTTGTTACCAACAGAATCCATAAACGTGATGGTCGGCGGCGGTTTCATGGGACTGTGCAGTTCGACTCCGTTTCCTTTCTCTGTCTTTCTCTTCTTAAACTGGAAAACGTTCTTGATTTTCCCCCACGTCTTTGGGTTTCGTTCGACTGTATAGCGGAGGAACCCCAAGACAATAATGCAAGTGGCAAGCAGCGATAGGAAAATGACTGTCAGGAGGCGGGCTTGTTCGCTCACAGACGAGAGAGTTTCAAAGTAGAGTGTAACAATCACGTACAAGAGCGCGTTGGCGATGAGGGTGCTCTCGAAACGATTGGCCCACTTTCGTTTGTACGGCTGGAGAGTGGTTTGGAGGTGAAGGTACACAAGGAGGCAGATTGCGGCTACGAGCAGGAGGTGTGGTGCAGGGACGAAAAAGGCGTTGAAAAAGAGGACGATACGGAAGATAAACTGGAGTCCTAGCCACGGACGGAACTTTGCTTTGAACGGTGCAAACATGGCGTCGTAGAGTGGCTTGAGCTTGTTAAAGTAGCGCCAGCGGTAGACGGCTTTCGTGCAGAAGGTGAACAGGATTGGTGGCGGGAGGATGAACACCACTAGCAGAATGGCAGCCACGATGCAGAGAAACACGTGGAACCCGGTAAAGTAGTCGACAGTGGGGTCTATGAACCACAGTACGTGTGTATCTCCGTCGAAACTGGATACGACGGTAAACGCGAGTATCCCAAACGAGGACTGAAGGATGCCAACATAGGAGAGGATGATGAGCGTGGCAAACGTCTTGGAGGGGGAATATTTCTGATACAGGGTGTCGACAAACTTGAGGAGCTTTCGGTTACCAATCGCGATGTTAAGAGCTCCAAGAAGGAAGAGGTAAGCCACGAATGTCAACTGGAGAGCAATGAGGGTCATGGAGTTCAACCCGTCGTAGAAACAGGCCGGGATTCCAAAGTTGAGAGTGAAGAACGCGGTGAGAAAGTTGACACCTCCGGTTTCGTTGTTGTTGAAGTACGCGGAGTAGAGGGTGATGATGTTGCTGTAAAAGATGGTGGCAGTGAAGAACCCCTCCGCCACCGATATCTGCAGTAGGCTCCCCAACACAAACTCTACAAAGACTCCGGCGAGTATAAAGAACAGCAACAGAAAGAGAGACCAGTTTGTGCAGCGATCGCAGGCATTGGTGCCCAGTTGGAGACTGTAGCCTTCCTCGCACCCACCACACAGTCTACCTGCTCGGTGGAAGGTCTCCCGACACTGAACGTGCCAGTCACCAGAGGGCACCTCCTTCCTCCCATCACCACAGTAGTTGAGGACGCACGTAGCCACCGTGAGGTCATCGTTGGTCACATTTGGTCCGTCGTGGACCGGCCCCAGCCACACGTTGGAGCCCACCATGAAGTTGGTATTGCAGGATATGCCGCGAGACACCAGTCGACTGTCACAGACACACTGGGGTGGAGACTCGACGTGGGTGAACCCCACGTCACACGGAGTAAGGGCGACGGTGATAAACACATCACTCTCCAAGTCAATCGCAGTCAACCGCAGTGTAACATCCCTACTCTCCTCTCCAAATATGGTGACTGGGGCCCGAGTCTCCAATTGTGGGCGCACTTCAAAGTACCCAAAGTCACCGATGACTGACGTTGTGTTGTCCTCTTCACCACCATCATCATCATTGTCCAGGACCACACTCGAGGTCACCACTTCAGGAATTGCACTGCCAAAGTGGTCGATGGCGGTCAAATTGACAAAGAACTGCTCCCCGGGCATCACCGAAATGTTGAGGTTCTTATCCGTCCTGAGTCTTGCCGTAACTGTGCTAAACTGCGGCCCTCTACGGTTACTTCTAGTGGAATAGTCCACCGTTCTCCGGTAGTTCCTCAAGTTCCTGTAGACCGTGTCCCGTGGTTCGAAATTTGGACTCTCTCGCTCCAATGTGGAGACCCACGGACAGGTGGTCAGTGTTGACCCATACACAACAGAGCCGAGTCTGGCGCTGTTGTCCATGAACCTGACAGACGCATTCTGCGGGAGGCAGACAGAGCTTTGTGCACAGAGCCCGAATCCGGGCCTGTTAAAGTAGAGGAAGCAGTCGTCGGGAAGAAAGGTGAAGTTTTCGGGATTCATCTGAACAAATATGGCTCCACCAAACAGGTCGGCTCTGTTGGCCCTGAATGAGAGCCGGGCGCCGTTCAGGAGTACAAGGATGCTCTCTGACAACAGTTGCATCCCTGCTCCGTTCACCGCTTTGTTTCTCTCAAACTCAGTCATCCCTCCCACGTTGATGATGGAGGACACAGACCCGAGGGCGGTTGCAACGTTCCTGTCAAACGTGTTCATTCCCGACAGCGTCACGTTCACATTTCTCACGTGCACCACTCCAAAGTCATTGACAAATCCAACTTCGACTTTATCGTTTGACTGGATAGAGTTGCGGACGAATCTACAGTCAGAGATGCTCACCTGGAGTCCCGGTTTGAATCCCGATATCTTGTTCTCGTAGACTAGCAAGGCAGACCCTCCCAACGCCTGGTTCATTTCGAAACTACAGTCGTGGAAATTTGCCCTGTATGACGTCCGGTTAAAAGCACGCTGTTCGTAATATTGGGAGACTATTGCCACGCCACCGCCACGTGATGCTCTGTTCTTCTCAAATCTTGACTCCTCCACGTCGATAATGACGCTTCCAGACGCATCCTCCACTTGAAATTCTCCCCGCAGCTGTGACGAACGGACGAGGTCGATATTGACAATCATCCCACCTCCACTAGAGGCACTATCGCTCCTCCCGTTATCCTCGAAACGGCAATTCCTCACCAGGATCCTGGTGACAAACGGGATCCCCGAAAACACCCCCACATGAACCCCACCACCACTCCTCGCAACATTGTCAGAGAAATGACTGTTTGTGATGCTTGTTGCCACTGCAAAAGTCGACTGTGCCATCATGACAGTCAGCCCGCCACTGGCACCGATAAAGTAACCCAACTCTGCAAGCTCCGCCGAGCGCCAGATTAGATTCTCCACGAGTGCTACGGCACTGCAGTCTCGGTTGCTACTGAATTGACTCCTGTCTACACTCAAACTGTGCTCCAGGTCTGTTGGCTGAGGCTCCCTAAAATCTTCGTAGAGGATGTAAGCGCCCCCACCAATCAGTCCCGACTGGTTAACCAACTGGGAAAACAGGTTGGTGAGATCAACAGGACATTTCCTGGCTGGAACATTGTCCTGGAAGCTAACGTTTCTGAGCTGCGTGGAACCCAGTAGATTCACACCCAAGAGACCAATCCCTCTAGTCCTCTCCAGGTTGCAGTTAACCAGGCTCACGTTCCAGGAGGCAGCAACTAGCACACCGACACGCAGGGCGGTGGGTATCTCGAAAGTAAGCACAAAAGTGTCTTGGAGAGTGGGAAGGATTTCGCTCCAACCCTCTTGGCCCCTTAACCCGCAACCCCTGACGGTCAAGTTGCGAATCCTCAGTAGGGTAGTGTTGAAAAACGCCAGCCCGACGTCAGGGTCGCAGGTAATGACGACTCTTCTAGCGGGTCCGTCGCCTCGTATGGTGACTCCTGCGATATCCCGCACGAATATCGTACTGTGAAGTGCGTGGTTTCCTTCACGGAGCAGCAGAGTCATGCGCGGTCGGAGGGAGCGGAGACCGTCTTCCAGAGAAGGTCCCTGAGCAGGATCCGAAAATATCTCCATTTGAGGTCCCTGGGCCATCGCTGCTGCCAGAACTGCACATAGAGCAGCGAGCACGCAGTGCACGGCACCAGCCTTACCCTGCAGGGAGAAGACATCATTCGAGCTCAAACTGAGAAGTAGCTAGCTCAATAGCTACGACCAGTGCTTGTAAGAGTTGCGGTAACATCTATAAGCACACGGCAGATCCTAGCAATACCTTCATGTCTTCCACTGAATATCAGCTTTCTGCAGCCAGTGAGAGCCTTCAGCAAAGTACCGCCGCGTCCGCTACTTAGGTGCAAGCGCGAGGGCAGCAGAGCCGGAAGTACAAAACATGATAGGAATTACAAAGAGCTCAGACAACAGTAGAAACCCGTGTGTGCAAAGTGATAACATTCCAGCGCGGCAGCACTATCACCACTAACTACAGCTGATGAGGATTGTGGTCCACACTCCACAACTCTGGCAAGAAGCGAGGGTTCATGGTGTCGAGAAAGTGCTGCCTCCACCTCCTCTGGAACTCCAGGAGCCCCTGTCTCCCTCCCTCCTCTCTCACTGCCCTCACCACCAGCTCTGCATGCGGGCTGAACTCACTGTTCTGGAGCCTTGTGTAGTGTGCGTGCAGGTGCAAGAACGAAACATGACATGCAGAACTTCACAATGATAGTCTGTAACTTTTTTCGCTGCACAAAGCACTGACATGTTACAACAATGGAACACCACCTCATTGAAGTCTGTGGGCTAATAGCTTCTCACTATGAGCACAATTTGACACTGCCCAAAATCCAGGCACAAGAAGACAGAGAAGTGTACGAGCTCTCGCTCTGGTGGTAGCCGCAGGGCTAGCTAGTAACACTCTGCAAGTCATCAGCAACTCGGAGACTATAGACTACACGGATGAGAGTTGCTAGCATGTTTGAACTTCCCTCTCTGTCATGGACTTCACCCACACTCTTCCTCCATTCACCAAACAAGTGAACCACAGCAACTTCCTTAAGAGCACCACCCCCTCCCCCTCATCGCCCACGTGCAACTCATTATTGTAGGAAAAGTGGATTAGAAACGGATAATTGATGTATGTATCTTTCATGCCCCAACCACACTCTGTATTACGTGCTTTGAAAAGTGAGAAAGCGAGGGCATACCTTTAGTCAAGTCAATATTACATCATGTTTAACTAGCTAGTATATACCATATATACCAAGTTTCTTCCAATAGCGCAGAGAGATGAGAGAGAGTGTGAATTAAACAGACCTTGTATCAATTTCGGCAGCCTCTTGAATCATGTCAGGAGTGATATCCTCAGGAGTACACCTCAGAAACTCAGCCACTGCAGCCATTAGCTCCTTCCTCCTCTCGTCTGGGATACCTTGCCCCTTCACCAACGCCCTTCATGCAATTGATAGGATATTCATGCATGCCAACAATACTGTCGCAAGCCAAAATGCAATGCAAGTGCACCGCAAATGAACCCCAAGACAATTTGAAAAGAGCTGCCCTGGACGGGATTCAAACCGACAACACTAGGCAGAGCAAGAAGGGCATACAACCAGCACATGAAAATTTAGCAGTCAATAGTCATCCGTAGTATACTATACAACAATATACAGTTAGATGTTAAAGGCCGTCATATTGCAGTCACAAGACTGTGAGCTCATTCAAATGTTGATTGAACTTTGAGGATGTTTGAGAAACCTCAATTATTCCTAACTAGGACAGAACACACATACCCTTATAATTAATTATTGTCCTCTATATATAACCGTCATAAGCTCTATACATGTCACCATATAATGTGCTGTTCCCATGACTCATATGTATACGCTCTGACCTCTATCAACACAGAGACCATAGCATTACCTAATGTACTACCATCGTGGCTTGTCTGCAGTGGGAGTAATGCAACAACATGCAATCGGAATAATGGTTCCGTAACAATAGAAATGATTGGCATCCACAGACTCAAAGCGATTGATTTCACCTCCCACAGGAACACAGTAAACATTAAAAAACCCACAAGGCCAACACCAATCAATCTACTACAAATAAAGTGCCAATAATATTGACAATAAACTGCTGGTGTGTATTTAATGGATTTTGTGTTTGTTCACAGTCTCAGTGAGAATGATTTTTAGTGTCCAGTTACAGAATATATAGTCAAACATGACTCTTTCAAGACTTGACTTTAGCTATGCTGGCAGATTTCCTGCCCTCCACCTGTTTGTGTGAGTGGATCTCTCCTCTGGATACTGTTCTAGAGATTATTCCCCAACTACAGTTTCTCTCGGTTCTGAAGTAGATGGTAGTCCTTTTGCTTTCTTCACTGACTATAATATTTGAAGTGTTCTACAGCACAGAAGACCCTACCTGGCAGAGCTCCTAGTTGAATTGACCACGAGCTAGGGTTTCGTCCGGGATTAATTTATGCGACGTTTACTTCGTAGCTGATAGAATTATGGCTTTGCTCCAGCATTGAAAACGGATAAAGATATAGTGTTGTGGTCTAAGCGACGCTCCTTTCCTCTTGTGGGTGGAGTACAAGACTAGGCAGTCCTCACCTGGCACAGTTCTTGACCCGACTCATGCGGTGGTCTTGAGTGAACCGTGAGTTTGAGGCAGAGGAGAGAGGGGCACTGTACTCCTGTGCCAGCAGGGACTTGAGGCGGTCGGAGTGGGCGCTGGCCAGCTGGTGACACGGGAGACACAGGAGCAGGACATCGTGCGAGGCGTGCTCCTTTAGCTCCGCCGGAAATTGCCTGCATAAACACAGAGGGATATACTTACACTGGCTCTTTCTTGTCACGTGTTGTGACTCTGTCACTTGTAAGTGTATTAGCACGTGTGCTCGCGGCGTCGGAAAATCAGCGAGTTGAAACGAGTTTCAACAAATCCCAATTCGATCGTTAAAGTCTGGCGTGACTGTGGAGCTAATTGCTTCTGTATGAGTGGCCTTGTGTCTTGAAACAAGTTACCCGACTATAACGTAGACCACACTGGTCGCTATAGACAAGAGGTGTCCAAGGCAACACAACAGCTAGTAAGAGCTACTCGGGGTTAGTACTTCAACCTACAAACTGTACATGACCTCACACATTTAATATGTACAACTCTTTGGGGACACAAACATTACGTTAATAACGCAAAAAACGGTAAGAGAAAAAGAATTTGGACCTCAGGTGTCCTGCTATACTTACACGCAGCCTAAAACATTCCTTAAATTATGTGTCGCCATATGGCCTATGAGAAATTCTATACTGGTCTCAGAGAGACAGCCGATACGTTGGGAGGACCCTCAAATGTCGGATACACCATTGTCATTCCACGTGCTCTGTCCATGCCCGGCATTTCACCATACACAGAATCCCACGGAGAAGATTAAGGTTTTTATGAGTTGTACACACTGCAAAACCAGATCAAACGTACTGATGAATACCACTGCTCTGAGCAGTCAGTTGTAGCGTCCTGTAACCTTCCGTGGTGCCTCATACATGCCCAAAACTAGTCATTACCAACAACATACGTAATTATCCATCCGTGCAAGTGTTCATGTACCGCCCCGGTTCTCAAGGCTGGGCACACCAGGGTCCTGCCTCTTTCTTTCTGTTTATATGTTATTGTCTGTGTTTTTGTACACTTGGGTATGTTATTGTCTGTGTTTTGTGTGCTTGGGTGGGGGAGGTTCTTTCTTTTCCTCTGAGCTAGTATGCTATAAACATGTTTTTTCATGTAAACTAAATACATTGGGCCCCCTATCTAAAGATAACCCTGAAATGAGGCCATCTCTCCAATAAGAATATTTTCCCCAATGACCCAATGAACAGTTCTTGCATGCAATTGTACCCCCTGAAATAAGGACACCTCACTAGTATGGACACTTTCTTCTCCCCAACTGGTGTCCGGATTAGAGGTGTTCCACTGTACATGCCATAGCATAACACTAATTTCGCATTAATGGAGCATTATGCACACTGGATCATGGTATACCACTAACAATGCTTGAACACTTGTGGGTTAACTTTAAAGGGAATTGTCAGTACATACGGGCTAAATTTAGAAATTATAGAACTAAACAGTAGGGCCCAGTGCAAGAATGCAATTAAGTTTTAAGTTTCCATTTTTTCAGTAACTTTAAAGGGAATTGCCAGTAATTTCAATAGGGCCCAGTGCAAGAATGCAAAAAAGTTTCCATTTTTTCAGTAACTTTAAAGGGAATTGCCAGTAATTTCAATAGGGCCCAGTGCAAGAATGCAAAAAAGTTTCCATTTTTTCAGTAACTTTAAAGGGAATTGCCAGTAATTTCAATAGGGCCCAGTGCAAGAATGCAAAAAAATTTTAAGTTTCCATTTTTTCAGTAACAGTTTCTAACTTTATCCCTTGCATACTGCCACATTCCCTTTAATGCAGCGATACTCTTTTCTGACCGTCTGTACTCGTGTGGGACAATGCTCTTGCGGATACAGTCTCTGTCGCTGCCACACACCACACAGACGTTCCTCTTCTCCTCGGTGTAGTAGTCCCGGTCCTTTCCCGGCTTACCCGCTGGTTCAAAGTTCAGTTGGAGAGTGGGAGGGGTTTCTGACACCAGTGCTGCAGAGATCAAACACACATTGGCAATCACAGAGTCAGTCAGTGATGGAAGTGTGCTTCGGACCGAGCGCGGTACCCCTCCTTTTTTCATCGCTTTTGTCTCCCTCCTACTTCCACCTTTTACAATCTCGTCCTTGTTATCTATTTTATTTTGTTCTCATCACCTTTTTCATCTCTTCCCCTCTTTGTCGGTCCCTCCCTCCATCTCCTCATGGTTACCCTTCAGTCATCCTAGCTCTCCCCCGTCTCCTTCCTTATTCCGGCTGTGCTTCTACCTCCTGCTCCCTCCTAGCTATTCTTCTCCTCTAAATTCCCGGT